AATTACATTCCACATGCAGTCATGAATGGAAACTTTGAGAGAGAGGTAGTAGACCAGTTCAAACACAATTAACACCAATATGTCGATAAAAACATTAGCTACAGATAAAATGCACTGAGAGAGCTTCATGCCAGGAAAGTTATAATACAATATTGCAGATTGCATAGGTGAATATAAATATCTTATGCTGCAGTCCTAAGCTCCATTGAATTTAATATGACTTACTTTTGAGTAGACGTGGTTAGAACTGCGCTGCTACCTTCAAACTAATAACAACATCCCTTCTCCCCAACATCATCAGAACTACTTTAAATGCTTTAAAAACTGCCCAGGAGATATGATTGAAAATGCTTATTATAAATAAATAGCATGTGCAACTAGAGGATGGACAGATCAGTCTATTCCTGGTCCATGTCACTTCCACATGTGTTCATTCCTAAATCCATTCAATATTGTTTCCTCATTAATCTGCGGAATGAGATTTGATGCAGGATGAGGCTGCCCAGAACATTCCTCAGCATTAAGAAGCAATTAGCTAACCCATGGCAACATATTGCCAGGAAATTAGCACTCTTTTGTCAAGTCCTAAAAGGCTATGGGGCGGGGGGGGGCGGTCCACTGTCCCTCGGACCTTGTGGGAGGCCGGACTATATTTTGGAAAAAATATATGAACAAATTCCTATGCCCCACAAATAACCCAGAGATGCATTTTAAATAAAAGCACACATTCTACTCATGTAAAAACATGCTGATTCCCAGACAGTCCGCGGGGTGGTTTTAGAAGGCGATTGGGCCAGATCTGGCCCACAGGCCTTAGTTTGCCTACCCATGTGTTAGACTGTACGATCTGCAAATTTTGAAATACTAAATGGTTTTTATTTTATTTTTTTTAAAAAAATTTTATTGCATTTTTTAAAAGAATAAAATCACCAGTCATATAACAAACAACGAATGTATACAGAAATAAGAATAAAAAATCTCAGCCTTTCATACATTTTTTCATAACCCTCTGGACTTCCTCACGTCTCCCTTTCCTGCGTTCTCCGGACAAAAGTTATATTCCGCAATTTATTACCTTGTTTCAAATCTTATGTTCTAATTTTAATGTGTTATGCCTATAATTTTAATTGTTTCCATCAAATATTAAGCTACTTAGTTTAGGCATAAAATACTAAATGGTTTTTAGATGCCTTAAAATGAAATAAGCAATATAAGTTGCTTCCAAGTAAGGCTACCGGTAATTCTGACCATAAAAGTAGAACTACCTAAAACTCTATATTTGTTTACATTTTGAGTTACTGGTATCATGCTTCTGTTAAAACACTCATCTTTCAGCATGAGCCAGTAGCAGCACAATCTTTTACATCTCTACTCAGACGTAAGCCCCACTGATTTCAGTGTGGCTTACTACCACGTAAGTTTTGCATCCTAAATGAATACTACCACGTCTAAATGAGTACTACCACGTCTAGTTTTGCATCCTAAATGAATGTAAGCATTGGATAACAACTTGGGTAAAGTCTTCCCTCTGGGATCATCTAATGTCCCTCCTAAAGCCATGGTTTTGTAATACATTACTTCTTGTTTTTATTTTCATTTGTTGGATATCAGTAACGGTCTGGCTGGCAGTTACAGATTTTATTTTTATCCCAGTGGTTTATATACTTAATTGAATCCTTAATCCTTCATTATTATTTTTTCCCTTTTAAACACAGGAAACCAATTACAACGTTCGGCTTCCATTCACCTCCGGATCTTTAATCCTCTTGAGGATCCTACTGATGCTTCTGTAAATTGTAATTAAGAACAGAAATAGGGCATGCTATGTTACACATCAAGCTTGCTATTGAACAGGCAACTTTCATTAAGAAATAATCACCATCTCTGCATGAATACAGTTGGAGGTTATGATAGCAGGAGGGTAATGATGGATGTGAGCAGACTTTTAAATAGTTTGAGCGCATATAGTCCCTTTGCATCTAGGCTACGTCTGGCAGCCAGTCTTCAGTGCAATTCTGCTGATGAAGCTATTTTTCTTCCAAACTGTCATTTGGAAGCTCAGCTGATTAAACTACTAAGGCTGCAATCCCATGCACACCTAACCAAGATCAAGTCCCAGTCCCATTTTGACGTGCTTCTGAGTAGATATGCGTTGGATTGTGCTGCAAATCACTTTTCTGCCATTGGCTTTTGATTAAGTCTACACGACAAGATTAATATAGCTATCTATTAATCACAGCTTAATGTTTCTCCAATGACATTTTCATGGGTTTGGTTTTTTTACTCTAATGATTCTGCAGTTCCTGTTTTCTGTTATGCCTAAATAATTTAGTTGCATTATATGAATTACAGGCTCAATCCTGCACTTGAGATACATTCACTGAGGAGTGATAGGATATGATGGCTATCCTGGCGAAACTGAATTAGGGTGAGAGAACTTGAGTTATGTTGGTCAACTGTGAAGACCCAGTGCAACCCCATGCCAGCATATTGGTTCTATTGGTATAAGGCTCCATGCCAGAACTGAGGTAGGGGTAGGGCATGAGTGTCAAAGGGTCGTACTGAACTTATGCCCAATCCTACACCAGAGCTCTTCATGTTGGTGACACACTTTTTAGACATGCATCATTTCACGACACAGTAATTCAGTTTTGCACCATTTTGTGACACAGTAATTCTGTTTTACTAGCAAACTGGAGGTTAAACTAACCCCTTTCCAGCCCCAGGAGGAGTGTGGAGAGCTTTCACATGACACACTGCAGCCAACACACTAACATGTCGGGACACACAGTTTGGAAAGCTCTGTCCTATACCCCTTTACTCCCCCAGCCCAGTCTCACAACAACAGCTCAACTTCAACCACAGAACTGGTGTGAGGGAAATACCTGCCATAGGATTAAATGGAGAGGAGACGATTACTGCCTTCCTAGGAACCCCTACTTCCACTCACCTCACAATGAGATAGAATAGGATTTGGAGTAACTCCACGTCCAGTCACAGCACACCAATGCCCACATATAAACTCTCACCAGAGAGACAGTAACCCTGGACTCTGAGGCTGTGTATTCTCACTTGCAAACTAGTGAAACTAGTGATCTATCAACCTAAAGTATGACCACAATAAAAACCCAACAACCAATTAACATTTCTTGGCCGTATAATTTTGAATTTGAAGGAAACCCTGGAAACGCTCCTTTTTTCTCTCAATGCTTGGAAATGAATTTTCACAGTCCTAGATTTCACATATGATTACATCAAGGTTCTTTGGGTGAAGTCTCTTACCAAGACACAGATATCCTCTTGTGCGGGAATAAAAACATCCTGTGCAAAGAACATTCTGTTACCCACGGGTAGTATTGTAATGCTCTCTACATGGGGCTACCCTTGAAAATGGTCCAGTAGTGGCAGCTGGTGCAGAATGCCACTGCTCAGCTGTTGCACTGAACTGCAAGAGGAGACTGCGTCACTTTTGATCCTCAAAATACTGCACTGAATGCCTGTGAGCTAGTGGGCCCAATCCAAGGAGCTGGTACTAGGGAACAAAGCCCTGAATTACTTAGAACCAAGTACCTGAAGAAGCGCCTTCCACAGAACCTTCCAACCCAGATTCTCCAGTTGCAGAGAGACAGGCTGCTCACTGTTTTGTCAGTTGGAGTGGGAAAGAGAATGGTGATATGAGGCACTGGGGTTATTGGTGAGGGGGGTATTTATGGAACTCTCTCACAGGTGAAATCAGACAGTCCTCTACCTTGGCTATGTTCAGGCAGAACATTAAAATATTTATTTGTTGAGGGCCTTCAAGTTTAGTTTGGTATGAGACTTTACTGTGCTTTCAATGAGGTCTTCAAATGTTGTATGATTTATTGAAGGTGTATCCAATGTGGTACTCTCCAGATCTTGCTAGTCTTCAACTCCCAACAGTCCCAGAAAGCCTGGTCAATAGTCAGGGATAAGTAGTCCAAAAACATCACATTGGGTAGCCCTGATTTATTGTATTATTGTATGGTGTCTGTCACCCTGAGCTCCATTTTGGGAGGAGGGGCAGAGTACCAATGTAATTTATTAATACACACATTAACATTAGTTGTGAGAGTAGCTGCAAGGTATCAGTGAATGGAAGGACCATAGCAGAGCATCCATCTGTTTTGTGTGTCAAAGGTCCGTGCTTCAATCTCTGGCATGTCTAGGTATGGCTGGGATAGACTAGGTATGGCTGGGATAGGCTGTGTGAAACCTTGGAGAGCTCTTAAGCTAGGTGGACCCAAGGATATAACATAACATAACATAACATAACATAACATAACATAACATAACATAACATAACAACATAACGTAGCCCTGTGATCCTATGGAACACATCAGCAGATTGTGCATCCCAGAACATTGGAGAATACCTAACGTGTCTGTTCTGTATAGAAATAAGTGCTGGTATTTCAGACCTCTGAAACACAGGAAGAAATTCAGATAAGGAGAATTTCAGATACACCCATATACTGAACACATCCTTAGCATTTCTGCAGAAAATCTCCCTCACCCCTACCACGCAACTGGGAATCCACAAGAATCCAGTACTGTTAAATAGATACACAACTCAAACCCATATATGTTTACTGGAAAGAACATCCCATTGTGTCCAGTAATGATGACTCCTAGGTACGTGTGAACAAGGTTACAGCCTATAGGCAAATAGACACAATTTGTATAATTGATTCTAACAAAATGAAACAGAGCAAATTGTTCAAGTCTCTTGAGACTGTGCAGAATTCTAGCTCTCTTGAATTGTTGGGTAAGACATCAGACGCCTTTTTTCTCTCTTCCTCAAAACCAAATGTAGTAAGGAACAGTGTGAGACTTTAAACTTGTGCCTCCTACATAAGAACAATCCCAGCAAAAATACGTTACAGGGATTCAAGAGTATATTTCAAAACACATTTCATTGGGCAGTGATGAAATTGTCCAGTAGGTGGCTGACATCCCCCAGAAAAAGACTGCACTTTCCTATATATCTACTGTACTCACAGAAGGAAGCTTGCTATGGTGCGAAGCAGGGAGAGAGCTGACGTCCCAGAGATCCTGCCTCTAGGATTTGAGTGTTTAAAGGAACTGCTCCTCACCTTTGCTGCAAACGCAGCCTGCACGTGCAGGATCTGAAAGGGCTGGAAAGAGCAGCAGCTACCAAAAGTTCTTGCAAAATGCAACCCCTTCGTTTCGACACTGAAACCTCACTAGGAGTGTTGGTAATGGACTATGGACGGCTTTGTGTAGACCACTGCTCAGTCTTTGCAAACTGGGGAAGTACTTATTCCCAGGCCTCATGAACAGGAGAGAGAGCAAAGTTTTGAAACAGAAGCTATGCTGATGCTTCCTTGTTTTGAATGGGCTGGGTTTCTTCTCGTGCATGTGTTTCCTTCTATGATCAGTCACGTCACATATTAGATTTCTGCCAATCACCACTAAGGGACGAAATCGACTCGAAAGAATCTATGAAGCTTTTTTCTTTTTCTTTTCTTTTTGGGGTAAAAATAATAATCAGGCAAGCATTTTTTTGGTACGCCAAAACTTGACCATGTCTTCTGAGGACTGCGTTATGCTAGATGTGGAGTTGGATGGCTTCATTCTTTGCAACACCTCTTCTGCTCAACATGCAAATCTGTCCTTCCTGGATGAGGACTTGTTTTACTATCGGTTCCTGTATGCAATTCCGACCATTTATGGGATCATCATCTTGATAGGACTCGTCGGCAATGTTACGCTCATCAAAATCTTCTGCACCGTGAAGTCCATGAGGAACGTCCCCAACTTGTTCATCTCAAGCTTGGCTTTTGGAGATTTGCTTCTTTTGCTCACCTGTGTTCCTGTGGATGCCAGCAGGTACCTGTCTGCTGAATGGCTGTTTGGTCGGGTTGGATGTAAACTTATCCCTTTCATACAGCTGACTTCGGTGGGGGTGTCCGTCTTCACCCTCATGGCTCTCTCTGCTGACAGGTAAGCAGCTGTGCCTAAAAGTCTTCTTGAGGTTCATATAGTATGGTGTCTTAAAAACCCAAGGATCAAATTTGGTTTGGGAGTATGGTTGAAGTTATGTCTTTCTCCTCCCTCTGAAAAGTTTACAATAAAGAGCCAAAATAATAATAATGGGTTGCTTAAAATCTGTACCTAAAGCTATATGGGTGAGACGTGACAAAATAGCTATCTTTCCCAAAATGAAAACTTGCTGTGCCCTTCACCTTCAGTGTTCTTAATATGCTTAGCCCTAATTAAACTATTTTTATTTTGTGCTTTTTAAAAAAATTCAGTGGGGAAAAAAATTAAAAACAAATATGGGTCAAGGGAACTGGGATGTCATTATTCATACCATAATTACACCCATGTTATTTCATCAGCTATTTCATTTCATTTGGGCTATTTCCTTCCACATAAATTGATTTAGAATCCATTACAGTTAACAGGTGTTGAGTGGAAAGTTATAGAGTTGCAGTTATCTATCTTTCTGCAAATTGCTTTCCTCTACATTTTAGGAACCTGATGATAAAACTGTTCATAGAGGAAACAGCTAAAACCTTTAGTACATTGTTAAACCCTATTTCTACAAGCATTCAGAATGTATGTTGCAAAATGAAATGTAGCAGACTTTATGTGCCAAACGTCTTTATTGATTCTGCAGACTGTAAAATCCTCTCGTGTGATCTATACTGGAGATTTCCTACACAGACCTGTTGTCTATGACAGAACTTTGCAGATAATCAGGTCTGCACAATTCTATAGCTAGCAAGGTCTTTCTACAAACAGGGTGAGTTTTACTGAATGAACAGAAACAACACTATGTTATGAACCTCACTGAGCATTTCCCTAGTAAAAAATGAATTGCCCTCTCATTCACCGCCACAACCAACCCGGCATTCTGCATACATACACACACTGCAAATAAGTGAGCCCTTTGCTACACAACAATAATAAAGGCATGTTCAATGAAACAATAATTGTAGAAATTATTCCTGAATAGTACTTACCTGTATTTCTGAGTAGGCATGCATAGGATTGCACTATATATTACTGAATCCCCTAGAATAGGATCTTCACAGGAACACAGCTCAGTTTGTTACAGCGTGGTGCTGATCATGGCCAGGTTGCAGGTTCCATCCCTATATGGGACAGCTGCATATTCCTGCATTGGCAGGGGGTTGGACTAGATGATCCTCAGGGTCCCTTCCATCTCTACAAGTCTATGGTTCTATGGTTCTATTGCTGTCTCATCTGCCTTTACTGTTGCAAGGGATTTGGTTTGTTTGCTCAATTACTCATCCTGAGTTATCTGTTTGGGGGGATATCTGCCTGTTCTTTGCTTGTGGTACAGTGGTCTGGCTGTGTGTATTAAATCTGTAGGACAGGGGCGGGCAACCTATGGACCTCCCACTGTTGGACCCCAGCTCCCATCAGCTCCATTCAGCATGGCCAGCAGGCAGCATTGTATTCCAGCAAACTCTGTTAAGCAGCTCCATTGACAGGAGTTAGCATGGGGAGGAGGAGGCTGTGAGAGGGTTTCAGCTATGATATTTTGAAGGGCTGTCATCAGAAGTTGCTTCCTTCCTAAAGACTCACAGAAGAATGCTACTGTCTTTCTATTGTTTTTAAAACTGGGCTCTGCATAATCTTAACATGTGAGCTGTAGGCATCCTGTCATGGCTCTTGCATCTCAAAAACGACTTGTGAATCAAACAGATTCTTGTATTTCAGGAGGCGGAGATTCCCTTAGGATATTTGTTTTTAACTGGTGAAAGTTCAGGAAGGTTGCCTGGCACAGCCTTGACAGAAGGTGGGTAGTCCGAGGCCAGAGGTGGAAAGAAAGCTCCCCTCTCCTGTGGGTGATCCGTGTTGTCAGAGAACTGTCAGCAATGGTGCATGCACCCCTACCTGAGGGATGGATAAAGGGGTTCCTCCCCCTTACAGGCACCTTATTCTGCATGCAAAGAATTATCCAAAAGGATAGGACATGCGCTAAAACCACTTTTTGTGCATGGATCATCCTAGAGGCAAATGAGCAAAGCATATACTTCACATGAGGAAAAAAAGCTAAGAGATTCAACTTTTCATTCCAGGAAAGAAATATGTAAAGGGAAAGATGAGAGGAGCTGTAAAATCCTGTATTAACTGAGTCAGACCATTGGCTCATTCATTCATTCATTCATTCAATTTCATAAAATTTATAAGTAAAGGTAAAAGGGACCCCTGACCATTAGGTCCAGTCATGACCGACTCTGTGGTTGCGGTGCTCATCTCGCTTTATTGGCCGAGGGAGCTGGCGTACAGCTTCCGGGTCATGTGGCCAGCATGACTAAGCCACTTCTGGCGAACCAGAGCAGCGCACGGAAACGCCGTTTACCTTCCCGCTGGAGCAGTACCTATTTATCTACTTGCAGTTGACACGCTTTTGAACTGCTAGGTTGGCAGGAGCAGGGACCGAGCAACGGGAGCTCACCCCGTTACGGGGATTCGAACCGCCGACCTTCTGATCAGCAAGTCCTAGGCACTGTGGTTTAACCCACAGCGCCATCCACGTCCCTATAAAATTTATACACCATTGTTAAAAACAAACAAACAAACACACACTCATACCTCAAAAGCCTCAGACCACCTAGCTCAGTATTGTCTAGAGTCACCAGCAATGGCTCACAAGGATTTCAGAGAAGAATTTCTCCCAGCTTCTGGGAGAGATGCTGGGGGTGAAACCTGGGACCTCTTGCGTACAAAACAGATGCTCTACCACTGAGTGACAGCCCCTCCCCATTAATATTCCACATAGACTGTTAAAACTAAAGGAAAGCCAGGGAAATTAAGATGAGTAGATGTGCAACTGACATCTGAAGCAAAAATGGCTAGAGGTATTATCAAAAACACCCATAGCTCCAGTGATGTACTGGAGCAGGAATGCTGCGTTCATGGGAGGAGCGGCAGCAGGATCTGCAGGAGCAATATTTATCAGTGTTGTAAGCCTGCCTTGAGGGCCGTGGGTGGTTAAACCACAGAGCCTAGGGCTTGCCGATCAGAAGGTCAGCGGTTTGAATCCCTGTGACGGGGTGAGCTCCCGTTGCTCGGTCCTGCTCCTGCCAACCTAGCAGTTCGAAAGCATATCAAAGTGCAAGTAGATAAATAGGTACCGCTCCAGCGGGAAGGTAAACGGCATTTCCGTGCGCTGCTCTGGTTCGCCAGAAGTGGCTTAGTCATGCTGGCCACATGACCCGGAAGCTGTACGCCGGCTCCCTCGGCCAATAAAGCGAGATGAGCGTTGCAGCCCCAGAGTCCGTCATGACTGGACCCAATGGTCAGGGGTCCCTTTACCTTTACTAAGCCTGGCTTGGGAGTAGGGCAGAGAGTTGCAGTAAAGGATGTGCAGCATTTACCTGGGAGGAGCCTTTTCTCCTTCATAAGACTAGAACTCATGGGCATCCAATGATACTGACTGTTAGAAGGTTCGGGACAGATAACCCTGTCAGTATTCTACCAGATACTTCCAGTATCTGAAGCGTTTCAAGTGCTGTGAGGCCAATAATTTATCGGGATGTGGGGAGAGGGAAGGAATACATTTTGCCAAATATCTAGTGCCCAAATGGTGCTGATTAAGATTTCTGAGAGAGGTACAGAGCCCATCCAGAGATCATTGTCCAGGCTTTGAACACCCAGCTTTGCACAAGAAATCCCCCGGAGTCCTGACAGATAAATGCTTTGCACTGTGTCAACATGAAGTACGGTGGTTACCTGATCAGGAGGGAGCAGCGGTGCATGAACTCAGTCACACTCTCTCCTCTTAGCAAGTGTAATAGCCCATGGCACAGACCACCTGTTTCGTAGTGGACACACAGCAGAGAATCAATATTGTGAAGCTGTAAAAATGTCTAGGAGTTTGCCTTTTCAAGCTGATACCAATTTGATTGCTTCCTGCTTCTGAATTACAAGAATAGTTATTAATTCCCCAGGGTTTGTTTTTTTTAAAGGTCTCCATTGCTAATCTGCCGCTCTGTGCATGTGTTGCATGTATACAGCACATGTGGGAAACTACAAGCCACATGTATACGTTCAGCTGGGGGAATCAGCTCAACAGGCAGGCAAAGCATGACATCACCCTCCACCAAGGCAGTGCAGTACATTGGCAGGGTTCAAACTGTTGGCCTATCAGACCAGAACTTGGCAGTGAAGCTCATTGGTTGACCTTGGACCAGGTGCACTCTCTCTGCTTAACCCACCTCACAGGGCTGTGGTGAAAGCAAAAGGAGAAAAAAACCATGCACACTGCACTGAGCTCAGTGGAAATAAGGTGATATATAAATGCAGTAACCAGTGGCGTAGCGTGGGGCGTGCAGGGGGGGGCGGCCGCACCGGGCACAACATCTGGGGTTAGGGCAAATCCACGGGTTAGGGGGCGCAAATTACTTGCCTTGCCCCGGGTGCTGACAACCCACGCTACGCCACTGGCAGTAACAGACCCTCCAAGTGTCTTTATTTTCCAGGTAGAATCCCAGATCTACAGAAGCCATCCCGGTTTCTGATTTGATCCTGGAATGTCCCACTTTTTCTTAGGACATCCCTATTTGCATCAGAGAAATGTTGGAGGATATGGAATAGGCTGCCCCAACCCTCAGGATTTTTTTCACATGGCACTCACCTGAACTCAGTTCCGGCATTTCCCAGGTGGGTGCCATTGGCATTTTAAGAGAATGAGGAAGGTGTTCCTGGTGAATTCTGGCTTTTCTTCTTCTAGACTATTCCCCTATTTTCATCAGAGGAATGTTGGAAGGTATGGGTAGGATGTCCCTAATTTCACTGGAGAAATGTTGGAGGGTATGAGTAATATGAACTGTCTACCAAAAGCCATCAAAACTTCTTGGGCAAATAGCCTCCTATAAAACGAAGCAATACAAAACACCAAACCTCAGTCTCTCCTATGTGTGCATACACAATACAGTGGTACCTCGGGTTACATATGCTTCAGG